TTTTTTTAAAATTTTTTTGTGGAAAAAAGGGGGGTGAATTTTTTTTTTTTTTTTTTTTTTTTTAAGAACAAGGTAGAGAGTAGAAGCAGAAACACGTGGCCACACCAAGCCTCTTAAAGCTCAGGTACTGTTCTTTCAAAGCAAAATATGATACCCTTTCAGCTCGTTGTCCAATCTGTACATAATGGCCATTAAGAAGCAATCCAATGCTTTTTACTTTTATCAAAGAGTTAGATAGGAATCAACTGTAATAGTTTCCCCGGTTGATAATGCAACCCAAGCAGCAGACGCTTTCCCAACAATCTCTAAACTTATCCTTGAGGAGTGAAACTCTAAGAAGACAAACTCACTTGTGCAGTACAATTAACAAGTCAGTTACGAGAGTGTCAGCTCAGTAAAGTGTATGCACTTTATTACTGGTCATAATAGTACAGATTTTAATATGAATAGTTCTGATGTCTTCTGTCAGGATAACTGTTCCAGCAGCCAAGTCTGTTCAAGAGCTGTCCCTTCACTTTCTGAAATTGACACTTCAGTGGTACTTCCTGTGGCGGTCATGCTCTGTATCATTCAAAGAAAAGCACGTTAATTTTTCTGAAGTCACAAGAAACAGCACACCTGAAATTACAGGAAAGCACTCTAAAAAAAAATCTGAGCCTGTAGTTTCTAAGTACTGTCAGGTCAGACAGGCAACAAGATCTAAGCTTTCTTCATCGCCAAGAAAATATTGGCCGTCTGATAACTTACTAAAAGTATTCAAGTTCTCTGTAGCTGCAAGCCTGCTTGCCCACACTCCTGGATTCAAGCAGCAATGGTTAGCACAGTCTTCCGTTTTATTTCTAAAAGCAGCAGCAGATTGTTTTTATTGCCCCAAGCAATCTTCCAAGCTGCACTATACGCATTCAGCCACGCTGCTTTTACTTACTCAGGTGACTGTAGCTCCAGATGTAGCTGACAACAACATAACCAGCAAGCACCATGGAGATACCACCGAGGCCCCCTTTCTTGACATTGATATATTTATTGTAGTATCTGTCGTAACCTGTACGGGAGAAAAGTTTTCATCGCAGCCAGATGAATTGCATATTTTTCTGTGTCAGAAAGCAGCGGCCTGGTTTCACAGAACTTCAGGCAATTGTTTCTAATGAAACATCTGAGGGTCTCAGAAGCAAATCTGAGAGAAGGCAACCTGTGTGTTAGTTAAGCAAAGTGAACTCAAGTTAATAGTGCTAAGCCTTAAAGAAAAAAGGGGGGGGAGGGCAAAGCCATTTATCATTTTTCCCTAAACATTATTGTGACTTCCATAAGCTCAAGCTGCTTTGGAATTATCTAATTCTTTTATACTAGTGTATATACATTATGTCAACACTTGCATCTGATATTTTGTGTTTAGATCTACCTGAATGCCATATCTGTATAGCAAAGGCCATCAGTCAGAGCTTTTGCCAAGCGATCCATAAAAGCCCTGTGTCCTTTCTTATAATCTTTAGGGATCAATTGCATTTTTTTTTTAATTTACTTGCGATGTTGGGAAACCTCACGATTTTCAGCAAATAGGTTCAGGAGCAAGGTCACAGTATTTCCTCTTGATACAAGAAGGAACACTGAAAACAAACCTCTGGCGGATAAAGCCCATGCGAGAAACAAAATCTACACAGGGGAGAACAAGCCGCTACCGGAGGCACAGCACCGCGGAGGCAAAAAAGAGGCCAGCACGGACTCCCACCCCCCGGGCCTCCGCCGGCCGAGGGGGCGCCGAGCTGCTTCGCAGCGCGGGCGGCCCCGCCGCGGCGCCCCCCGGCCGCCCTCACCTCTTCGCAGGGCCCCCACGATGCCGCCGGGGGTGAAGTCTAGCATGGCCAGCCAGGTGGGCAGCTGGCCCAGCTTCACGTCCAGCAGCTTCATGTCCTTGAGGGGAACTGCGGCACAGAGAGAGACACGGCCCGGTCAGGGGGAGAGGGGAGGGAGGGAGCGGCGGGGAGGGGGGGGGGGAGGGAGGGGGCGGCGCCCCCCTGGGCGCCCCGCCGCACTCACCCGGCGGCTGCGCCATCTTGCCGCTGCTGCGCTGCGCCGCCGCGGGGGAAGGCGGGAAGGGGCGCGCCGCTGAGGCTCACGGGAGGAAGGTCAGGCGGGAACCGGATCTTGGGGGTGGCGAAGGGCTGGCGCCATGTTGAGCGGGCCGGGCGGCCCCCTCCGGACTGGCCCGCTGAGGAGTGTCGGCCCCGGTGTCGCCTCGTCCCCCTGCGCCATCTTGCCGCTGCTGCGCTGCGCCGCCGCGGGGGAAGGCGGGAAGGGGCGCGCCGCTGAGGCTCACGGGAGGAAGGTCAGGCGGGAACCGGATCTTGGGGGTGGCGAAGGGCTGGCGCCATGTTGAGCGGGCCGGGCGGCCCCCTCCGGACTGGCCCGCTGAGGAGTGTCGGCCCCGGTGTCGCCTCGTCCCCGTCCCGTCTCCTCACCGCGGGGTCTGTTCCCCCGTGGGGGCTGCACACGCTGGGGGGGGGGGCCCCCGCACTGCGTTGAGGTCTGTGCGTGTGGGGCCCTCTCACGGGGCCGGGGGCATTCTGAGGGGTTTTCCCCTCCTCGCCCCGCTCCAGCGGGTCTCCTCAGCGGCCGGGCCCCTTTTCAGGGGATGCCGGCCCAGCGATGCCGGACGACTGGTGCAGGGTGTCCTCAGGTGCCCCAGGGCAGGCCAGCGCCTTGCACTGTCCCTGCCTGTCACAGGGTGTTGGGTGCCAGCCCTTGCAAGCGCTGCAGATTGTGAGAAGATAGCAGAGAGAGAAAAATTCACAAGTCTTCATCATCAGCATTGTCACAGGACTTATCACAAATGAACCTTCCCACAAATTAACCTTTTCCAGTGTGCTCTGAGGAAGTAGCAACTCTTAGCACTGTAAATGTGCGTTCACAGATAGTATATGCTGCAACATACATCTAAATTTGTTATCATATATTGTAATGTAAGAAGTGAGGGCTTCTCAGACCTCTTCCAGGGGTCACCTGCCCTCTCCTGCAGTCTTTGTAGGTGGCTTCAAGGCGAGAGGAGAAATGTTAGACTATTTTTCACAGGGATTAGGTGACAGATGAATAATCATAGAATCGTTAGGGTTGGAAAAGACCTCTGACCGTTAACCTAACTGCCAGGTCACCCTCTAAACCATGCCCCTAAGCACCACATCCACACGTTTTTTGAACACTTCCAGGGACTGTGATTGCCCCCCTCCCCTGGGCAGCCTGTTCCAGTGCATACCCACTCTCTCTGTGAAGAAATTTTTCCTAATATCCAATTTAAATCTCCCCTGGCACAACTTGAGGCCATTTCCTCTTGTCCTATCGCTTGTTACTAGGGAGAAGAGACCGACCCCCACCTTGCTACAGCCTCCTTTCAGGTAGTTGTAGAGAGAGATAAGGTCTCCCCTCAGCCTCCTCTTCTCCAGACTAAACAACCCCAGCTCCCTCAGCCGCTCCTCATAAGACTTGTGCTCTAGACCCTTCACCAGCTTCGTTGCCCTCCTCTGGACACGCTCCAGCACCTCGATGTCCTTCTTGTAGTGAGGGGCCCAAAACTGAACACAGTACTCGAGGTGCGGCCTCACCAGTGCCGAGTACAGGGGCACTGTAACCTCCCTGGTCCTGCTGGCCACACTACTCCTGATACAAGCCAGGATGCCATTGGCCCTCTTGGCCACCTGAGCACACTGCTGGCTCATGTTCAGGTGGCTGTCGACCAACACCCCCAGGTCCTTTTCCGCCAGGCAGCTCTCCAGCCACTCCTCCCCCAGCCTGTAGCATTGCATGGGGTTGTTGTGACCCAAGTGCAGGACCCAGCACTGATCCTTGTTGAACCTCATCCAGTTGGCATCAGCCCATGGTGTGGTCCCATTTCAGCGCCCACTCAGGACTTTTCCCTGTGGGAATACGCTGCGTTTTACTACAGCTCCTCTGCAAGGATGTCAAAGGCAAAAGGAGAGGCAGGGCCTCGGTATATGGTGGAAGTAAACCTGCATAAGCAGAGTTGTGGAAGAGGTAACGTATGAGGATGCGCAGATGAAGACGACTTTTGCCTTCCTGCAATAAGAAAGAGCCACCCAGATTTATTTCATGTTGCCCACGTGTCTTTCTGTGGGATTTAGTGCAGGCAGACCCCCAGAGGGACCACCCTGGGCGGATAAAACACCTGCAGAGCTGGCGGTGGTGGGACGAGGGTGGGTTATGGGGATGAGGACTCCAGCAGGTGTCACTCGCACTTAGCAGAATGCAGCTGCTGGAAAGATGCTCTCCATTAGCCCGACCTCTAGAGGTTTTAAATCGTATCATTCAGCTTCATAAAATAGTGTCGGGTTTTGTTGTTGTTTATTGTGCTGAATCGGGAAAGCAAAGTGATACAGCAGTAAACAGGGAGCAGCCATCCACCGCTGTTTCTGACAGGTCAGCCAGGACCCCAAATTTCCTAGATATTAAATCTCCATCCCACAGAGGACTATTAGAACAGATCAGAGATGATGAAAACTAAATTAAGGATGCCGAAGGGGGCCCACAGGGCTCCTACATAAACACTGAACTACTAATCTCTGCAGCTTTTACTTCTCTTAGGTCGCAGAGTCTTATTCCACATGCCTTCCTCCTGCCACTGCAGGATTCTTGCATTATAATCTGTAGGGTTTGTGTTACCTGGTATTAAATGAGTTGAGGTATGGGACCTCTGTTGTCTCAAGAGATATGGTACTCTGTAATGCATCTTACTCAGAGGCTGGTCTACATGTCTAGCTTCAGCCTCTATTTTAGTGAAATTCATTTATTTACATTGAATAGTGTTCTCCCATAACATAAAAATAAAAGCAGAAGGAATAGACTACTGCCTGTTTGTTTTTTTTTTCTTTTACTTATTAACAGAAAGTAGAGTTAGGAAAGTATAGTGTGCCTGATCACTTGAAGAAAGGGTTCCAAATTTAGGCCCTGTTAAATGGATTAAAAAGTCCGCTTATTAAATTATCCTTTATTTTATTATTGAACTTTACCGGTAACTGTCATTTTATTGCTGAAGGGTCCCCTGATGAACTACTGTGTGGCCTTTTTGCAGTACTTGCATAAAAGTATGCTTCAAACTTGCTTCCCTCATTTTTGCAAGGCAACCTATTGTTTTAAATAGAATTACTCATGCAAGGCAGATTAATTCACCTACGGGAAAAAAAGCCAATAGTGGGTGCCTCATTTTAAGGAGTTCCCTGCAGAGCAGAAGAGCACATAGAGGTGCTCAAACTGCTTATAGCAAGATCTGGGGAAATTCGGTTTGTTAGGGTAGGAATGGAAGACCATAACAAGGATACATCTCCAATGCAATTAGGGACAACAGTGACCTAAACCTTGGCCTGAACTGCCCACTCTGGTAGAGTAAGAGGAACGGTGCTGTTGCCTTTATGCCATCTTAATCCTGAACCAAGCAGGAAGAGTTAAATGGTACAGATGTGCAGGAGGTTTTGCAGCACACGTTTCCTCCCTTTGACCCGTGGTGCTGGCCAAAATTCAGGGTCTTGTTGGTTGATCCAGATTGGAGGAGGAATAATGATGAAAGGTGTTTCTGATGTATTTCTGTTTGTTCACAAGAATGCTCACAGCCCTCCTTTCCTGAACGCAGAAGGAATCATGCAGTTGAGGGGCAGTTTCCTTGCTTATAGCTCCTGACCTGCTCCAGGCAGCAATGTGACCCCAAATCCCTGTTTCTTGTACTCAGTCCAGGTTTTATATCAATGATTGTTCAGGCTGTTTGAAGTTTCCGTTCCCTGCCTGTTTCAATACGCTGTCTTTCTGTCTCCTCCTCCACCTGAACAGTATTGTCCATCCACACATAACCTTCTTCCCTTTTAATATCCTACCCGAAACTGTCCTCCTAGAGCCTTCAGGTACTTGAGCAATCTTGCATTGTGGGTGGAAGGAGACTTAATGTCTCCTTTAGCTACCCTAAATAAAAGAATGCAGTTAAACCTACCAGTTTCAAGACGGTTTAGCCCAACCTATAAAAATAAAAGCCTAATGGAGTGTTGCCCTGAGGTTTTCATCTTACTGAAGACCGCTCTAGAAAATGCCATGAAGTTTATAAGTCATGGCATGGAAATAATAGGAGTACATCATTCAAAAAACCCAGAGTATTTTGCAAAGGACATCAATAGATACGAAAGAGGTTTCCTTTTTCCAGTAGCAACCGTAACACATAATATTGCAGCTTTCAGACCAAAGATTCAGTTGTGGCCTGAAAAGTTAAGTAACACTCTTCATTAAAGTTGCTGCAAAGGAGAAGTAAAAAGCATTTCACACACCCCCTCAGACTGTAAGATCTTAGAGGCCGGGACCATTTTTTCATTCTCTGTGCCACCCTTTGAAAACTCAGGGTCTCACCTGGGGCTGGTGGTCAGTGATACTACAGTAATATGAGGAGACAGTGTCCATAGGTGGTAAAGTAGCACAGAGCGGCCTTCAAGAAGGTCAAGAGACGAGGATTTACCTAACTGATCCTGCGCCCACTGAAACTGATGACAAAGCACCCAGTGCTTTTAATAAAGGATCAAACCTACCCAAGTGGACAGATAAGGTTCTGAAACATGCGGTTTGGCATAGGATGCTTCTTGGCTCCTAAACACTTATTTCAATCTGATGTCTTCCCACCAGCACAGGTTAAACATCTGCAGCCGTCAAGGAGAAAGAGAAATCATGGGCTACCAGCACTTCCAGAAGCTCAATGGAGAGATGTATGTTTTATCAACCAGTAATTTGGAGAAAAGCTATGGTCCCAGGTGGCTTGATCCAATCTGTTATTTTTTAATTGTATGAACAGTTAGATGTGGTGAGAGCAGAGCAGCTGCTCAGCATAGGTCTCAACCTCATTCATCTAAAAATGTGCTTGCAGTGGAAATCGGACTCCCGAGTTGAATAGGATGAGAAAGGGGTGTGGAGTTTGGAATCTCTTCCATGGCCAGACTTCCTCAGGAAAATGGTAAATTGCCTTGCATAATAATAATAATACCTAGGGACTGACCCAGCAAAAGCAGTTGAGAGAAT